CTATCATGCCGAAAGGAGGAGTTTGTGCTTCAATTTAAAGATAACAGGAAACTGTTGAAGAGGGATGATATGTTTGAAATCATGTTTAGGGTGGAACGAAGGAACAGGAACTTATTGGGCACCAGATACGTTGCTAGACAGAGTACTGCAAGGTCCGTTTCATTATTCCTATTTTACATATTGGAAAACTGAGCCACAGAGACATTAAAAAATACACCCAGGGATATTCAGCCAAAAATTCTGGAGCCAGGACTCAAATCTAAAACTCTCTGGCTTTAAATCTTTCCATTACTCCATGAGACCTTTGTAATTAATATGACAAGTGTGTGCTGAGTTTTTTAGAATAAAGAGACAAAAGTCTGTGAAATCACAAAGGAATTCATTCAAGATGTAGCAGACTCCTAGGGAGATGTGAAGTAAGCCAAAAGTGTTTCCTTTTTTTTTGCAACATATTTTTAGGACCCATGAGCTTGATTCTTCTGTTTTCTAAATGTTGCTGAATGTTCTTATGGATTTATTTGTATTTCAGAATTAGTAAAAGGAATTAAGTTTTCCTTAATAATCATGTAAAAATTCAAAACATTCCTAACCATACATTCCTAAAATGTAGCTAGTTTAACTTTCATGGCGTTATATAGTATGTGACTCAGCCAAACATGAGAAGATTCATAGAATGTGAGCACTTTAGGGGGCCTCTAGAATGACTCATACCCTTGAACAGGTGTTAGAAAGACAAGCCATAAATAAGAAATCTACTCTATCAGTCCCCATATGCATTTCTTCTGTCCTTGCATATGAAAAAGGTATTTGCTGAACAAAATGATTCCTCTTTGTTAGGTTCAGTACCCCTTAGTTCTTAGGTGATTCTGTTGGTGATAGAGCTGAGAACCTTAAATAATTCCATGTCTATGTGGCTATTAATATTAAATTACTTTCTGGTAAGACGGATATGCTAGCCATGGGCAGTAATTTGTATCTGGTGTTCTTCTCCAAGTCTCCTGACCTATTAGCCAAGCTTTGAAGCATCAGTGCCTCTGGAATCAGATATTTCATGTCATGACACTCCTTTGCTTTCTAGAAGACCCAATATTTTGTACTAAGCATCTGTCCTGATCCCTTAACTGAGGATTAAACCAGCTGTTTGAACCTGGCTGCCCAGCACTTCAGTTGCCATTCTTCTTTGATGCCAGACCTTTGTTTCATTACAGATATATATTACCTGTGAATTGACCTCCCAGTTCACAGCTACCTGCCTGGCTTTCTCAGCATTGCTCAGCCCAGAATCTGTCACTGTGCTCTCGTACTTAAAGCTCCAATATTCACTGAAATATGATTGAGATTCTATCTTTCACTCAGCTACTATCTATTCATCCAGGTGTCACTCCTTGGTATCTCCCTTTTACTAGAGGGTAGGTTAGATTCAGTCATGTATCCTTTCTCCTCTTCACTACCCCAGTGCTGCTTGAACGGACATGATCCAGAGTTGACAAAATCAAACAGATAGGAATGTTTTGGTAATAGGTGATAGAAACAAATCCGGAAAAGCAGCTGAATTATAAAATAAGTAAATGACTATTCTCCTTTGAGGGTAGGGAGAACACAACAGCAGAACTTCACCATCTAGTGCATTTTGGGAATCCGTACAGATATGTAGATTGTTCACATAAGGGAATTCTGGTTAAAGGTTAGGGGACCCAGGCAGGTATTGGAATCCTTTGGTGTCTCATACCAAAATTGTAACCTATAGAAGATTGGTTGGGTAAGTCAAGTCCTCAGCCTTTGAGAGATTGGGCCCAAGAGAGGTTGTTGGGACAGGACTAGAAGAATAAGATAATGTTCCAGTTTCTAAACTAGATTATGAAGTGGGGATGGGATCATGAATAAACTTTAGATATCAGGATATTAAAAATGGGACTTGAGAATTGAAAAAGGAGTAAATTGGGTTAATAGTGATCCATCTAAATATGAATTAATGCTTCTTAAATTGTCCCAGACCAAGATATCATTGAGACACAGAGATTTTGGTCTTAATTTATTAATTTATTCCTCATGGCCTCCCAACTAAGAATATGCTAATATAAACTGGCCAAGAAAGCACTAAAAAATGACATGAATAATTTTAAGGACTGTTGCCTTCTCTGGAACATTTATAAGTGATTACTGAATGTGTTTTTTTACTCCTATGGAATCCCGAAATGAAAAGCCCATCTTTAGGCAGTGTCTCTAACATTCTGTGGAAGGCCTAGGTATAAGAAAGCGAATTTTCTTCTCCCCCTTCCATTTTATCATGGGACTCAGATATGGTTAAAATAAACATAGTCTTTGGGATATGTTATTCTAGAGTTTGTGCATCTAGATATGTGTATGTCTATATAGGTATCTACAGAAGGGTCTGCATCTATAAATGTAAAGAAGTAAAAGGTGTCCTGCTAAGTTAGAATAATGCCTTAATCATTGACAAAGAAGGATTCAGGAATAAAAAATCACCTTCATATCTCTCTTTAATATAGAAACTGGTCTCTAAAGTAGTTTACATTTCTGCCAAGGTAAATGTCAAAGCAATTACTCTAATTTGTTGTAATTTAGGAATAGCTCTGATCATTTGAATCACAATATTTATTATGATTTTATTATTCCATCTTTTTAATAAATTTGAGTGCTATGCAAAAGTGAAAATGTATGTTTTCTTCCCCAGAGCAGCCTACAATCCAGCAGGAGACAAGGCATAACAAATTAACTCTGATCATAGTATGGAAAGTGCTAGCAAAATATATACTGAAAAAGAAATGTATAGGACACTGTACAGGCTTCAAACATGCTATAGCATACCACACACCCCAAACAATCTCAACAGCAAAAAGAGAAACAACCACATTAAAAACTAGCCAAAAGACTTGAATAGACATCTCTTCAAAGAAGATACACAAATGGCCAATAAACATTTGAAAAAATGTTCAGTATCATTAGTCATTAGCAAATACCTAGTGAAATACAGATAGAAAGCATTTCCTGTCCATTAAGATGGCCATAATAAAAGAAAAACTAGAAAATAACAAGAGTGGCAAAGATGTAGAGAAATTGGAATTCACATACATTGCTGGAAGGAATGTGAAATAGTATATAGCCCTGTGAAAATCTGTTTGACAGTTCCTCAAAATGTTAAATGTAGGTTTTCATATGATCTAGCAGTTCTCCACTTAAGTGTTTACCCACGAGCATCAAAACATATTTGCACAAAATTATGTATACTTGAATGTTCATAGCAGTATTATTCATAATAACCAAAACATGGAAATAAATGTACATGAGCTGATGAGTGGATAAACAAAAGTGATATATCCATAAAATGAAATATATTTTTGCTACAAAAGGGAATGAAGTACTAATACATGCTATAACACCTATGGGCCTTGAAGTGAAAGAAGCCAAACAAAGACAAGAAATTATATGATTCCAGTTGTATGGAATGCCCAGAATATGGGAGTTCTTTTTGGGGTGATGGAAATACTCTGGAATTATATAGTGGTGATATTTGGATAGCAATGTGCATGCATATACTAAAAAAACCCACTGAATCGTATACTTTAAAATGGTTAAATTAATGAATCTATGTTATGTGAATTTTAATGCAATAAAAACAGTCACACCTAAAAAAAACTCTGCAGAATTTGCAACATAAACAAAATTGTATACTCCAAATGAAAGTGTAATTTATAAAATATAGGCATGATGCGTTGGAGGGACATCTATGAGTTAATTTCCTAACTGATTTGTAAATTAGTATTTTTGGAGCTGGGAAATATTTTATGGTGGCACAAATATCACGAATCTTGGGGAAAGGCAGGGAGGATTATATTCATATGCTAGGAAATAATATCCATGCCCCGTTGCGTAATGGAAAACTAAGAATCTTCTGCTTATTTCCCAGTTTCAGTCTTGTTTTATCACTGTTATTCAAACTTGATTGAATATTTAGATGACTTATCAATATTTATGAGTTATTTTTCTCTAACTTAAATATGTTGTAAGTCTGAGATTGCCTAATCAAATTATATTTCGATAACTATGAGAGTATTGTTTTAGTAGATTGAATGCATATATTTGTATTCTATTTACATATATTTTTCTAATACTATTTATGTTCTTTCATGACATTATTTCCCATATTAACTAAGAATTCTTTTGTCACAGTCTTGATATGATAAATGTCCTAAAAATATTTCAAAATTGAAAGAGCAATTTAAAAATCTTCTGGTAATATATCTAAACTTTTTTTTTTTTTGGATTTGGAGACTTAAGTGGCTTTATTAAGCACTTCATGAATTGGGCAGCATCCCATATAGCAAGTAGAGATGCTTCCTAAACCTTGTTTCTTTTTTTTCCCCCTAAACTTTGTTTCTTAATTGAATTAAGATAAACTTTAGTTTTTTGTGTATATTTAGAAAATTCTAAAAATATCTGCAAAATACTAAAATCTGTACCTTGCCTCTGACTGGGTTCACCATTGAGGCTTAGCTATACATTTTACTCTTCTTATTTGTCCATAGGGTTATTATTAGTTAATGGAGTAAAATATGAAAAATGCACTGCATTAGTTGTAAAGTTCAACAAGGGATGCCTATGTTTTCTTTTTAAACAAAGCTTAGTTCATTCATTTAGATGTTATGTTATCAAAACAAAGGGAGAAGATACTACCTATTTATATATTTGCTCTTAATTGATACATAGGTATGATATGTAGGTAAATGGCCTTGCCTAATGGTATTTTCTAATACATAGGCAATACACTTGGACAAAACATACTTTTTTCTTTTCCTTTCTTTTTTGTGTGATTGCTTTTTTCAACCAAATAGCCTTTCAAAAATGATAACATTTTACATGTGCATTTTAAAATTTAATATCTTTGGTGATTATATTTTAATAGGTCTTTGTTTCCGAATTGGGTTATTTTACCACAGTAGGCATATATAAACAGGTGTGTGTTCTCTATTTCTTTATAGATTCTACAAAGAAATTAAAGGATGTTCTTGAAGAATTCCATGGTAACGGTGTGCTTGCAAAGTATAATCCTGAAGGGGTAAAACTTTTTTTTCTTTATATTGGTTTCATATATACACTTGGAGGAGGGATTTCTTAATGAGAAGTCCTTGGAAATACATGTACCATAAACAAAATGAAATTCATAGTGAAATGCTATTCTGGAAAACACATAAAATAGTGTACTACCTTTTTCATTCAAAAACCATTTGCTAATGAAAATAATATTTCTCTATTGTGTGCTTGAAAGAGTATAGGTCATCTGTAATATAACCTTCGGTTCTTTTCCTAGACGTTAAATATATTGTAATTCTGAGATTGCTTGGTCAGGTATGATCAGGAAACAGGATGTATGGAAGGGAAGACCAAGTTGTCTGCTGCTCACTCTGTGACCTACAAATTTTAACCCCAAATGAACACTGGTCGGGGGGGCAGGAGGGTTACTCCTTTCAGAGAATTATTCCCCTGACTACAGGAAGATTCTGTGATGCATATAACTGGTCTGTAATTTTAAAAAGCCAGCTTAGATAAAAAATGAGGAACTTCTTCCCCCTATCTTGTTTTAACCTACAACCAGTGAGCCAACAAGTCCCTGAAATTCCTTCCGTATAAAAACTTCTTGTCTTGTTGATGGCTTTTGAACCCTTGGCTTGAATGAGTGTCCATCATTTCCTAATTATTTGTTAAATAACCTTCCTTTTAATGTTAGCTGAGAGATGTTATGTTTTAAATGTATGAGCATCTTAGCTGTGAGTTCTTCTGCAGTTTCACCAAGTGATGGTTCCGTTGTATGGGAATTAAAACAAATGACCCTTTGCAAAAGAAACATTCCCTTGGATGGATTATCTAGTCAGCTAGAGAGATTTGTTTGCTGATTAAAATGTGATTTGTTTTTTGTTATCGTTGTCATTCTGATTTTGATTATTTACAAGAGCACAGTTCTTGGTTATCCTTCAATATTATATTTCTTTGGGATTTATAGAATTTACATTTTAGTGAAAACCATATCTCCAATTCTAACCTTAAAACATCCATAGTGTTTTATAATTTCCTTCCAGTATTTCTAATAGCTACTTTTCATGCCGTATTTTCTTATTCTGTTTATATTCTGATATATTAACATACCTGGTAAAAGTCTTTAACCTAAGATTTATTTTCTTTTTCAAGGAAATTTAGTATTTAGAGCCTACAAATAACGGGGAAAATAAAGCAATTTAAAGCCATTCCCATTTTCCTGTATCAGGAATTTGTATTCTATTTACAAAGGCAGATATCCAGCCTACGTTTCCCTCATATTTAATTTTCCTAGATACCACAGTGTGGAAGAAAAAAATTTGCCAGATAAATTTGTAGAACCGAAAATCTCAAAGACCAGGAAAGCAGAGTGGGAAAGCTAAAGATGACAACTCTGTGGAATTGCTATAAGACCCAAAAATGTCATTAATATTTACATTCCAAACCAATACTTGAAAACGTGCATGTTTTCTAATCTATCTACAGGGATAAAACCAGTTTTTTTTCTCCCTGAGGATAGCTGCTGGCTATAAATTCAGTTGGAATGTGATCTTGTTTGCAAAGTAGCCTTTTTGCTTCAATGATTTCTTATTTAAAAGACTCTCAAGACTTGGTCTTACTGATATTATATATTTCATGAGGATTATCAGTCACTGTATATTGGATTTATTGAGGTAATTACTAGATTCATTCGTAGACACACATATGATGTCAGCCTTTTCAATAATGTAATAACTCTCCATAAATGCACAGAATCTGCTCTTGAAATGCATTATTAAAATAATGAACAGTTGAAAAACAAAAAAGTCAGATCTCATTATGACCCCAGACTAATTCTAATTTAAGAGTGAAACCACTCTCTAATTTAACAGATGGGTCTTTTCCCTTTAGGAGGAAAAAAAAAAAACCCAAAAAGCAATGAAAGCTTATATGACTCTTAAACACTAGTATGTATTTTACAAAAGCTGATAGGAAGTAATTAGGAATATTCAGTGTTGAGAAAGAAATCTTTAATGCCTTGAGGTTCTCTTCAGTACATGACTTCATCCAGTTTATAAAAGGTTACTCTAACAGTATGACAGAATTCATACTGTCCGTTCACATGGGAAATTATCACTCTCTATTGACTGGTCAGGTTAATCCTAAATTGTTGGCAGAGGTGACTACTTAATTGATGTCATTTTATGCACTACTTTTAGAATAAATAATCCTTTGTTTTCTAAAATAAATATTGCATGTATCATCCATACAAACGTACTTGCAAAGAAACAAAGAAAGAACAGGCCAAATATCTCCTCTTACAAAGTAAAGCTCCTTAAACCTTAGGTGCGTTGTATTTCTTATCATTTACTTGAATTACTGCTTTCTAAAAGGTCTCTGTATAAAAACTTAATACAATGAATATGTGACCTGTGGTCTATTTTAAAGGAGAAGAAATATTAAGTGCGTTGTACAGATGAGTCATTTATTTTTAATTTGTATTTTTTAAAGATCATTTAAAAATCTTTCTTTGAAAAAAAGAATCAAAAATATAAATCTAAACAATGGCTTTAAAGATTCACTAAGAATAGAAACTTTAAGAAGGTCTGGAGATTCCCAAACAGATAAGATTATAAAGTTTTTAAATGAAGAAAGTCACTGTAGGAAAAGTAAAATGACTTTTCCAAGATTAACCAGCTAGTATGACAAGAGCCATAATTAAAACCTAATTGTCTGGAATCCCAGTTTAAGAATAATGCCCTTTTCTCTTCACTTCATTGACTGGGCCATGGAATGAAAGGCAAGGCGTGGGAGATGAGAGTAAAGGGAAGAGAAAGGTATTTCACATACATTGAATGGCATTTCTTATGTAATGAGTATGGCATTTTCCAGTGCATGTAATTACTAACTCATGTCCAGCAAGGTAAGAGATTCTTACTCGTCTCCAGCTAATCTTATATGAATGATACAATATTAAGAGTATGATTATAGCTAGTTTGTAGTAGCCATCCAATCTTGGTGAGATGGTTCACAGTAAAATATAGTCAGGAAATCTCAGATATAAATGATTCATAAAGTAATTAAATTTGATCATATGAGAAAGAACCAGTTTGGCATTGCATTTTATATATGTAAAATATGTATAGTATATTATAGTATAAGTAAATATATATGTTAATGTAATAATATTATTTAATATTAATACAGATATATATTAATATAATATAATAATTTATATATATATATATTCCCCCCTGGATTCCAAATTCAATTCTAAATTGTTCCATTGATATCTAAAGACATGGAAAGAAATTAAGTAGTGGTATAAGTATGGGAAGATCTTTATCTTTAAAGGCAAAGTAATGGGCCACGCATGTTATTCTCAAAGATGGAAGCATTAGGAGTGGGAAATAAACATTAATAATCTAATATAGATTCATATATACTGTGTGTTTTCATAGTCTTCTCTGGAAGGTTTTAATTATCTTATATGTGTTATTCATTATATTTATCTCCTATTAGAACTGTGTGCTTATTACACTCCCAGATTGATCCAGTAAATCATTCTCAAATTTTAGCTTGTATCAGAATTACCTGGGGGTCTCCTTAAAACACAGATTGCTGCCTGCTCTCCTGCCCTGTCCTTAGTTTCCGTATTTCTAGGGTGAGGCTCAAAAATGTATATTTCTATCAGTTTCACAGTTGATGATAATGATACTGTTTCAGGACCACATTCTGAGATCCATGGGTCTGGGGTATGTTTTAAAATCATTCTGTAAAATCGACCTTTTAATTAAGTTATCAGTAGTATGAGATAATGAGTATAAATTATCTTACATTAACACCTGTATTCTTTCTTTGCTTGCATTCACAGAAACAAGACATTCTTAACCAAGTAAGACATTTTCTTTTCTATTAAAATCTGTCTTTTCTTTCTTTATTCTGATGTGAGCTATGAATTTCTCATCCATATCACTGACCTGTACTTCTGTACCATTAAGATTCGTGTAATATGCAAGGCTATATGTAATCCTTATAAAGTTATAACTGACTGATATTTGTTCAAATCAAAGTCTCAAATGGAGAAGTTAATACCTTAATGTAATCAAAGAGGGTCTAGAGGGTGGGCTATAGTTTTGTAGACCCTTGAATTTAATTTTCTAATTTCATCAAAACATGATCAGACTCCAGTAAAATAATTCATTTAATGAAAGTCTTAATTTATTAATTTACAATAGGAGGTTTATAATTGCATGTAAATGCAATTGAAAGGGATTTCTTTGTGGGGAGGATTAGGCATCTCTAGTGCTATTAGAATCTGTGAGAGAAATAGAACTGAAAAGCCCATTGATCTTTGCCTTTCTGAGAAAAAGAATAACCAATCTGTTGCTTCAGTCACTCTCAGCCCAGTTTCTAAAGCAAGTTTAGAAACTTCAGCCCAGTTTCTTTTTTTTTTTTTTTTTTTTCCCGCCCAGTTTCTAAAGCAAGTTTTGGGTCCATAGTTCAGCAGGGTGCATAGAATTACAACACATTTTGGGGATCTCTGAATGGATTTTTCTGTCATACTAGGAATATGTCTTATCAAAATGCATGAGATACTTAAAACCATAATAATGTCTCCCCAGGACAGTAATGGGTATGTACTAGCTTTTTATTCACAAGTGTCCCTATGGCTTCAATGACAGCAAACACTGTGATCTCATACTCAACATGTTACAGTACAGTTGGTTACACCAGAATGATCTTGATTGGCTTAGATACAGCTCCTACATATTATAGTCTCCTAGGATGAGGCAAGGCTGAAGTGGCAACCCATTGACTGTTATGACTTTTACTAGTCTCTTTCAGAGGATGACACTTCCTTGATCTTACCCCGACCTCTGTGGAAACCTACCAAATCCCCCAAAGACAGACTACGTGGGCTTTATGGTTTTAGGAGGCAACTCTTCAGAGTAAAATGGCTGCTTCAATGCAGCAGGATTTAGCTATTAAAAGATATTTATTGAACACCTTAGTCAACAAACACTCCTTTCTGCACAACCTGCATTCCTACTAGAGGCTGTCTGAAAACTGGTGTCAAAATTAGCCCTGCCTTTTCTCGGGGTCAGCAGAATGAGTTTCTTCCTTTTCCTTGCTCAGTCTCTGTTCCATATGGAGATGTTTAGTAGGCAAGCAATTTCAGCTGCAGAATAGAAGGAACAGGGAAAGCTGAGGTCAGCCAAAGTGGGGGTTGGGGGGAGAAGGGCATGTGTAATTATTGCTCTATGGTGTTCTTGGTCTATCAGTGTTCTGTGAGTGTAGGATTTTCTCTTTACATTTCCTGTTAGTAGATGATCCTTGGCCCAAGGCTGAATTAATTTCATAGTTCCCTGGGCTTCCCTTATCTTTGTACTTGGTACTCTGCACTGTAGATTCTGCTAATGTGTATAACCTTTACATTTAGACAACTGAGTTGCTTCATTCCCTTAGTAAGAAGCCTGGGAATTCATAACCTACGTTTGGTAGTGCTGCTGCCTAATGTAATATTTTAAGTGTCTTTAACAAGGATATTGACACTGATATAATTATTAGCAAAGATATAAACACCATTTTATTGTAAGCTTTAATTGTCCTCCCAGAACCAAATTCAACCTTTCGCATTAAAGAAAGCATCTGGAAAGTATAACAGAGAAAACGTGGTCTTAGGAGTCCAACTGAAATGAGTTCAAATCCCACATCTGCCACATATTAGCAGGTCTTGGACAAGTTACTAGCCTCAGTTTGTTCAGCTATCCAGTGAAAAGAATATTGGCCTTATTGAGTTGTTCAAAGGGTTACATTCTAAAGTGTATATGAAATAATTAGCTCTGTGCCTGATATATAGGTGTTCCATTGATGTTTAAAGGCAGTGGCTGTTGGTCACACTTTAGTGATTTCATACAAAAGTTCTAGAATATACATGAAAAGTAAAAGTGGGAATATCTGAGATACACCACCAACCAATCCTGTCACCTTTATTTTCTGAGCCTCACTTTTCTCAACTATAAAGTGAGAAAAAAGAACTCTGATGTCTTTCCAACTCTAAAGTGATTTTCTTCTACCATGAGATATGAATGGAGGACCTGAAATGTGATTCGTTTCCCCTGCCGAGCCTGGCCACAAGCCAGAATGCTGTCCTGGGACTAGACTTACTGTGTGTGCTGTATCTGTTCCTCCTCCCACGACTGCTTAAGTGCTGGGGCAGTTAGTTAGCAAGGAATGGAAGTAACATGGTACCCGGTATTTCTGCTTCTCTGCCCTCTGACTCCCAACCCAAATTCAGTCCTTTTCCTCTTCTTATCAAACCTACAACCAGAGCAGTTTTGAAGACAGACCACCAAACAGAATAATAAAACGCCTTCTCTAATTCTGTATTAATGACCTCATATTGACTATGTACTAATTATTGTTGAAATATATAGTAACCTTCTTTCAAGATATGACCTCAGTTAGAATGGAACCATGTAAAAACAGTTTGAGAAGATATTTACTTACTTATGAGCTTAATTAGCTACATCTTATCATAATTAAACACATCAATTTGAATAGCATCTTACAGGTTTCCTGTAACCGCACTGAGGATCCAATCTTGATATTGCCAAAAAATATACTATCTTTTATCTATGACAACATGTAGAATTTGAGAATGGGCCATCTGCAGTATTGTATCCTAAATTGAAAACTTAGTGATTTGACTGTTTCAAGTGGCTAGGTGATATCTGTCACAGTTGATGCCGTTCTCCCCTAACCTTCTATAATAAACACACAGAAATGTATTTCCTGCTACTCTAGTCTGCCCTCACTCCTGCTCTGCTCTCCTGCCCCTCCCCACTAGCTTTTATAGAAATGCCTCTAAAACAGGAGCATTTTTATACCTCAGGACATTTGCACTACCTGTTTTGTCTATCTGAGATGTTCTTTCTCCAAAATATGCAAAGCTATCTCCCTCATTTCCTTTAAATCTATATTCAAAGAACAGATTCTCATTTACTGATCATCAGATTTGAAACTACAGGCACCCCCCTCCCAAAATATATAAACATTTTCCTTCTTTTTTTTCCCCCTACAACACTTAATACTGTCAAACATTGTACATTTAGCCTATTTATTTTTCTATTTACTTATTCCCTTTGTTAGAAGATAAGCCTCTGGTGGAAGGATTTTCGCATGTGCCAGTAGCATCTTTACCCCAACAGCTAGGGCAGAGTCTAGTACAAAGTGGATGTACCACAAACATTTGCTGAATATGAGAAAATCTCCATCCTGAAACCACCAGAATAAATTAATGATAGAGTGAGGACATTTATTTTCATTCACTTTGAATTTACTTGGATGAATACTAGTGTCATTTCTTTAGTATTAACAGGGATTTCAGAACAAAGAATCCAGATGGTCAGATATAATAATGAAAGGCATATAGAAATGTATTTTGAATTTGTGCCAATTTGGCAGCAACATCTGAGCAGCTCCCTCAGTCTGAATCTTTGCAGATTCTCTATGTTACCTCCCTAAGTAGTCTGTGGCTGCTCCTTAAGAAAAAAAAATGAAAAAGCAGTTCTCAAAATTTTAAATATTGTGTGGTGTGTACGTCTCTGAGCTTATAGCCAGTTTGATTTTTGAACACTCATTCACTTAAGTCCAACCCATCGTTTTTCATTAGTGTTTCCATTGATGTGCATATAAGTGATCTCATTCTATTTAAAGGTCACAGTGTTCAAAAACCAATTCTAATGCTGCTCCACGACAGCAGTAGAAAACAAGATACTTAAATTCGGCGATATTCTACTGAATCATGAAATAAGGAAAACATATAGGTGGAGGACAGTATCCACTTACAAAAATATCTGATATGCTGGACAACATAGAATTTTTAAAAGAGATTTGAAAATCTTTTACCAAACAAGAAAAGAAGGAGATGGGTTAACCAGAAAAGGTGTTGAAGAATAATTCCTCTATGAATTGGAAACTCTGAAATAGCTAATTTTTGGCTGTAAAGAAGTGTGAGTTTTACAGCTTTGTAAGCTGTGTGTAATGACTGAAATGTAAAGGAGGGGAATTTTGCTCCCCCCAACACTGTGAAGAAGTTTGAAAGAGAAGTTTACATCGTCAGTAAAACCCAATAGGATGATATCTTAGAAAACTTTCTAAGATATGATATCATAGAAAACTTCATTCTTATTTTGATAATAAGGTTTTATTTTTTAAAGTAAAATATCTGTTTATAAATGCTCATGTTCTAAAAGCAGTGATTAGTCAATGTTGCCTGATATAGAACAATAGTTTCAAAATGTCTAAAACACAAAAACTGCAGGCTTGATTCAGGAAGATGCAGTGAATTTTCTGGTTTTCTGGACTAATAAAGAGGAAGGCAAATTAAGATAATAAAAAATCCATTAAACCTCAAACCAGGACTTCCTTTTATTATTTTATTATTTCATTTATTTTACATGTTGTGTGCCCAAGGGCATGCTAAGTGCTTTATATTGATTTATTATTACATTTAGATGACAGTCCTGAATGGTTGATCTTATATATCATTTTATATGGAAAAAATTAAGGCTCTGAGCTGTCAGAGAATAAAACTAAACTGCTTTTTGCTTACTGAGCAAGGCAGAGCTGCAGCATTTAATTTTAGAAAGTTTTCCTGAGAAATGAAAAAGAAGGACCAAGGAGTAATGCATTCCTTATTAACAGGGATGCTATACATTTATTTATTTTTTTCTTTTTGGTTGTTTATTTTTCTGGTTTTCATCATTAAATTATAGATGCTAATTTCAAAGAGGTTCTATTTAGGTTATGTAATGCTCTATAAAGAGCACACACTTGGGATGTGGCAGATTTTTTCTTTAAAAGAGCAGACCATTTCCTTGCCCCAAATCACTCAGGTGGCAAGCGGAGATATTGGAATATGACACAAAAGTATTTTATTCTCAAGTCTGTTTTGTTTTTGTTTGTTGGTTTGTTGTTATTGTTTTCCTTCATTATCTTTGAAACTCTTGCCTTGAAATAGTTCTGTTGTAAAATATAATCATATCCCAAAAGACGATCCAGAGAAAAACTGTCAACAATTCTAGTCCTTTGTTCATATTTTGTTACCAGCTTTCTAAAACAAGTAATCACAATAACCAAAAAGGATGAACCATGGAATGACTTGTTAAATGCATATAAAAACATCTGAGGTAATGCGGTTTTGAGACTTATTCTTCAAAAATTGTTTGAAATTTCTAACAGACCACTACCTTTCTAAAGAGGTAGTTATTGTTATTCTTACTTATAGATGGAAAAATTAAGGCACAGAGAGATTAATAAATTGCCCACCTTGACACAGCTAGAAGGTGTTGGATCTGAGTGTAGATTCAAGTAGTCTGACTTCAAAACTATGTTCTTGTCAGCTGTTATGTTGGCAAACACAATGCTGATCCCGAAAGGCTTAGGGCTAATAAGCAAGAGTGAATACAAATAACCATGCTTCTAACCACAATGCCTATGAATATGTTTGTTACACAAAGTTTCCATATATGTGTAATAAAATTAACTCCAGGTGTCCCATGAGGCTTCACACATTTGAGGATTGTCTATCGGAGTTGGTTACTAATCCTACTGAGTGTGGATTACTTCTCTCGAGATAGGCCATGGGGTTATGGGTTATAGGTTTTAAGGAACCCTGGTAGTAAGAGTAGGTGTTTCTGCTCAAGAAAATGCATTTGGATACCATGGTCAGGCTTTTGGCCTTATCTGCATCTTTTGAAACCTCAGTTTCATTCATGGTAGCAAATTGCTTTTCAGAAGTACTTCTGCTACCTGAGGCTATTCTTTATATTTTTATATTATTCATGGTTTTTAATTATGTGGTTCACTCTACTAGTAGAATTTATTATATTTTGTGGTGGTGGTGATTTCTTATATATGGAAGAAAATAAAGTCTTTTTACTGCTACCAGTGTAAATGTCTGAAATCTAGTTAGCAAGATTAAACTAACTAAAAATGTCAGATAAGGGGTAGGCAGAGTTTTGCAACCATTAATAAACAAAGTGAAGTTTTTTTGTTTTTGTTTTTGTTTTGTTTTTGTTTTGGCTTTGGTTTGGTTTTTTATTGGCTTGAGATTCTATTAGGTGCAGAAGCATACATATACATATTCTTAATTGGCATATGATCTAATCTACAAAAATGTACTTTCTCTAGTGATATCCCTGTATGTCATATTCCATTTTAGGTTTATTCAAAATAATATTATAATAAAATTGGTCATTCTGTACCATCTTACCCCAATATAATTACATGGAACAAATACTTTTTCTATCCAAAATAGCAGTTTAAGGAATTAATTTTATTCTCATCTGCCAGAAGTTTGATCAAAATTAAGAACATCAGTCTGCCAAATTTCATTTTTGTCCTATTTTTAGTTTCATCTCAGTTACACTGAACTGGGTAGAAAAAAAAAATGCCCTACAAGTGCTTTCTTTGAGGCCCATTGACCTTGCACTCTCTTGATCTGGACAGGTGTGGCTTTATTCCAGATTCTTCTCTGTAAGTCTCCTTGTCCTTTCAAATGGCCTCCTGGATGGGACCCAACACAACCCCACTGGCCTCTTCCATAAGGTTCATATTGATTTCCCAGGAAACATTTATGCGTCATTGTTCCTGCAGTCATGAGGGTGTTGGCCAAGCCCAGTACAGTACCATTTACTTGACTTTGTCCCAAAGCACCTACACGCTTGTCCTCAATTTTCCAGGCAAGAGTCAGATCCTGGTCCACTGTCCTCTGCTCAGAGAAAGCAAGCTCTCCAGGTGGCTCCTGTGAAATTCTCTACTGAACTAGAGGATAGAAGGTGGTTCTCATCACCATTTCCCCGAGTGGACATGAGAGTCTCAATGTAGCGATGGTTCTCTTCAAATAAATGTCTGGTTTTTTGCTTGTATGTTTTTTATAGACCTGCAGTGAGTATGAGTGGGCAAGGATGTTGGAATAGGTTTCTTTGAAAGTTTGCATGGGAAGTTTTAGAATTTCACTTTGGAATTTCATATCAATTGATGTTGGTGTTTTGGTGAAACTTTCATATTAACCCCTTTCTCCAGTTGTCGAGAACAAGATTCACCATTAGAGACAAGGAAAAGAGAAAAGAGAAATTCTTTTATTTCAGAGTATTCATGCTGTGTTCATGTGTGTATTAGCACGTTCACGTTAGTTGCCTGATTTAATTATAATAGTAACTCTGCAGGATTGGGAATATTACTCCCAATTTACAGAGGAGGAAACTAAGTTTCAAAGAGTAGATTTTTTAAGGGGATACAGATAGTGGGGAGATAGAAATGTCTGACTGGAAAGCTTCTGCCTTTCTTTTTGCCCTGCCGCAGGTGAGATTTATATATATCTAAGCACCGCTGTTAGCCTAGGACTGCTCCATGTATTTCTCAAATAGTTACCGTCCTTTTGTGGACTTGGGTATAGAAATGTTTGAGGTCATTTCTACAACTGTTGATTCTGAACTTAGAACATAATCTTAACATTGGCTGAGTTTTAAAATAAATGTTTAATTTTTTTCCAGACAATAGATTTTGAAGGTTTTAAGCTATTTATGAAGACATTCCTAGAGGCAGAGCTTCCTGATGATTTCACAGCACACCTTTTCATGTCATTTAGCAACAAATTTCCTCATTCTAGTCCAATGGTAAAAAGTAAGCCTGCTCTCCTTTCAGGAGGTAAGTCTAATTATATACTTTAAAAATGTATATGTAGTAAAATCCTTGAAGGGAAAATCAGTATCAAGTTCTCCATAAGAGAAGAGATGATTTGCTTAGGAAATATCTTTCTTTCAGGATTTATACTGATTGTGCAAAATATTTAAAGTGTCTCCAATATAGTAATAGCTAAACATTAGAGAAAATATACTTTATCATTATCCATCACTTGTCATTCAAAGTCTTAGAAGTCTATGTTTAGGTAATAATTTTAAGAAAAACTTCCGTCAAAACTGGAAAAGTGCTCTTTGAAATGACTAGTTAAATATAGGTAACTTTATATACGAAAATGTAGTCACAAAGCAGTTCTGTGTAGGAAACATAATATTTATATCACTTCTGTAAATTTCTAACATACTTTCAAAGAAGAGTTTTGATTTTTCTCTTAGACACTTTTTTTTTTTAATTTAATATCACCATGGAGATGATTGGTTCTGTCATTATGGGTAGCTTTTCAGAGATGTCTAATGAATTAATACCTGTTGCTAATTGTGTCCAGCTCCATCCAGTCAGGAGAACAAATATCTCACTGTATTACTCTACTGAATGTAAAATAGATGATTTGTTAAACAGTGTTGGAGGGTTGAAAAACCAAAGAGGAATACTAAGGTAATGCAGAGGTAGAACCACAGGAAGCATGTGCCACTCCTAGGTTGGAGTAATCAAAACTCAGAATCTTGGAGGAAGGACTTCTTTGAACTGGGATGTAGGATTCTGCGGGGAAGGTGTTGCCCGGCAGAACTCACCCTGGGACTTCTGTGGAGGGTATGACTTCCTTCTGGGTTCGGTAGCTCAGGAGCTCAAGAGGGGAGTCAGACATCTTAGGAGCATCACCATGGTCTGTGCAGGATTGTGTAGCCAGGCTCACTGTGCCCTTCTCAATGTGGAAATGAGCTGGAGACTAGATCCTGTTTCTCCTTATTTTGTCTGTTCTTACAGTGTGGAGCTTACCAGTGTTCTGGGCTGAACATTTTAAAATGGGACAATTCCTTACTTTGATCTGGAAATTAAAACTTCCTTGTTCTCCCATTTCATGCTATAAATGGATTGCACATACCATAGACTGAATAAAATAATAAAATTGTCTCTTTCATTTTATATGAAGCAATACTATTCTTGTGTATGGAGAAAGAAGGGGGGGTACTTTTTGAGATGTTATGTGTCTGAGTAATTGTGTCAGACTTGGAGAGAAGAGAGGAGAGATTCTAATTAATTAGGTAGGTTTGTAAGAAATTAAAATCTCAAACCTTCTTGTCTCCAAATAGCATGTAGTAAGTATTACATATAAGATGCCAAATTTACAAGGAGTAGAAATCAAATCAGGTTCCAAAATGGAAAAAAAAATTAAAGGGTAACAGCTTGTACTTCATTTGGGACAGCCACATATTCTGCACAGATCTACTTGAAAGGAGTTGCAAGATGGGCTGTGTAGCTCTCATACAGCAAAAAATAAATCAAACTGGAATTCCTTTTCAAAACTTGGTCTCCACATTTTAAAACATAAGTGCGTGGGGTCCTTTGTAGGACTGTTTTCAACCCCATATTCTTTCAGACTTACCTTTGATAGTAAAAAATACATGTATTTTTATTTTTAGAACCCTGCTTTGCCATAATCAAAGTTATCTACACTAGATATATTTGGGTTGAAAAAATCACAAATAAATTTTGAATAGAAAAGAGCTATAATCTGTTTTGTTTACCACCCCTCCACCCCACCCCACCCTGAGGAGAGTTCACTATATTTCATTACTACAGTACCAACAAGGGTGTGATAACCATTCTTGACTCCGTATCAACTGAAAAATGGTTTCTCAATAAAAAGCAAAACTAAATTGGGAAAAATGTTATTCTTGTTAGTGAACAGTATTCAAGTATTGGAGATACGGTAAATGTAAAACATTTAGTTTTTATAGAACAAAAATTTTAAATAGTTAGAGGCATAAAAATTGTGTGTGTGTGTGTAGTTGGTTTTTGTTGGAACTTGTAGTAGCTACTGATCCATCTGGTATTTTGTGTAGTGAATAATTTTTGGGGGGAATATTTTGTTGCAATATAAGTGCCTCTTATCACCTACTTAAAATGTAAGATGATTCTTTCTACTGTTCCCAAGTTGGGCTTTTAATTTTTGAAGATATCCCCTAATGCTTTATCTTTCCGGCTTTCTCATAACCTCTTCTGCTTCATTGTGAATGTCAGGTCCCTAATGCCTCACATGTTTGCCAGCCCAGTGACTAACTTCTGATTTTACCTTCATCCCCAGAATCTATCACCTGAACTATTCTCTTTACAGAATGGTTGAATCATTTGGAACCTTTGTTTTTTGGCAAGTGGCTCATATACCCTTGACCATGAATCAATATTATGAGTTCATATTTCAGGCCCTGCAACTTGAATACTGAGAATAACCAAAGAGAAATTTCATAAATATGCAGATTGTTGCCTCTACAAATTCTTAACATCCAATTTTAACATGGCCTTAATACCACTTCAGCTTTTAAAAAAAAATCTACCATAAGAAGTATTTATTCTTGATACTGTCTCCTAGCTCAGTTAGGCTAAAATTTTCAAACTTCCTTTAGTTTATTCAAATCTTTCCCCTCATTCTCAATAGGTTAATTATTTTTCATATCATACAAAAAATAGGCACTAACATAAAATGCCTCAATTATTCCCCATACAACCCAGACATGTTTCTTCAGCTCACAGAGAATATGTATTAACTATATTCCAGATGGAGCTCTTCCTTGGATGTCCCATAAGGAATCGAACTAAATGTGTTTGAAAGTCAAATAATTCTATTCTGCCCACACCTGCTTCTTCTATCTTGTCTTTTGGTGAATGGAACCCAAGTATCTATCACTTTTCCAATCCTAAAATCTTGGACTCTTCCACCCTGCACCGCCTCATGCCTCATGTTTAGTTAATCACAAAATGCTCTCTATTGCTCATTATAACTTCTCAAACATTCTGCCAGTGTGGGTATGATCCATCATTGTTTGTGTTAGAGACTAGCCATTAGCATGGGTCCCAGCTGGGCCCCGACTTCCCATCTCCACGATATGCTTTCTAACACTGAAGCCTGATTAGATTCCTCTTGAGTTTCCAAGTTTCAGGCCTTCACTATCACCTTATGGAAAGTTTTTTAAATTTTTTATTTTTCATGTAAACTTAAATCCTTGATATTTAAAGTGGATTACAGCAGCGTTGCTTTGGTGAAGGGAGGGGGTGCAGGAGAGATGTAAGTACAGGAAGTCCCAGCCACTGGCCTTCCCACACCTTTTGAGACTCCCCCCGCTCCCCCCACCAAGATGGCTTTAATGCCACTCCAAGGCCTGGGCATTGCAGTTAAGAAAATGATAAAATCTGAGTTTCATAGTAGTGAGCACAATGCCATGTAGCTTGTTGACCTGCCTACAGTCCCAATTCTCTCTGTCTCTTGACCCATGCAGCGGACCCTTTACATACCGAAGGGTTTGCTGTGACTTAAGTCTGCTGTGGTCTCTTATCTCACAACAAAACCCAACTCCTTCAGGTCTCAGTGAATGTGTCACTCTAATTGAATAGCACCTGCTGGGATGGGACACCTGGAGTGTGCCACTGGGAAGCAACGCTGGCAGCATGTAAAAGTCACACCTTCTTCTTCTTGTACAAGAACTGGTGTGTCCCTCTCCTCCCCAACTCCCACCTAGACCAGCTCTGCACGGCAGCTCTGGGAATGAACCACCTTCAGCTCAATGATCACTGGTCTTGTATAGGGTAGCAGTTAATGGTACTTATTAGTAACTTCTACTTTCTCTAAGAATGTAGTAATTAAAAGAGAATGGAATTGATTTGTTACCTGGTTCAAACACTTACACTGTATATTTCTGTTTGGCTCCACAATGTCTAAAATGTTGACTCTATAACAGTAAATGTCTGTTATTAGCTATAGGTTAGGGCAAGTGTTTTTTGTTGTTATTATTAGTTTTATAGGGCAGCAAAAAAGAAGATTTCCTAGCACCCTTTATATCAGGTCATGTAGTGACTTGGCCAGTTGTAATTCTTAATTATTTATTTTATTAATTCATTAATTCATGCATTCCACTTTTTTTTTTTTTTTTTTTAGAGGCGTGGGGGAGGAGCAGAGGGAGAGGGAGAGAGAGAGAAAGAGACGTGGGGCTCAGTCTCACAACCCTGAGATCATGACCTGAGCCGAAATCAAGAGTCAGACATTTAACTGACTGATCTACCCAGGTGCCCCTTCACCATTCCTTTTTTAAAAACAACTTATGTGCCAGAAATTGCACCAGAAAGCTGAGGATCCTTTAGAGCCACACAGAGAAAGATAGTCAATTAGGTGATCGGTCATATTACAATAAAATAAAAGTTGTCATCTATTTATCATGATCATCTGAGATTTTAATCATAAATTGAAATTATGTAGTTTAAATAGAGGTAGGGACAGGTACTTGTACGAGAGCATGGAAGGGAGTTTCAAGAAGAGAAAACATGTACATTTCTACTCCAATTAAAAAAATAAATGCCCCGTGAAAGTATAGTAGTGTGTGAACTGTAAGAAACTCATTATTATTTCATTCATAAATATTTATTTATTTTTAAATTTTTAAATAAATTTTAAATCCAGCATAGTTTACATACAGTGTTATATTAGTTTCAGGTGTATAATACAGTGATTCAACAATTCTGTGTATTACTCAGTGCTCATCATGACAAGTGCACTCCTTAATCCCCATTTATTTTACCCATCCCTCCATCCACCTCACCTCTGGTAACCGTCAGTTTGTTCTCTATAATTAAGAGTTTGTCTCTTGGTTTGTCTCTCTCTCTTTTTCCCTTTGCTCATTTATCTTATTTCTTAAATTCTACATATGAGTGAAATCATATGGTATTTGTCTTTCTCTGACTGACTTATTTCGCTTAGCATTATACTCTCTAGCTCCATCTTTGTTGTTGCAGTTGGC